ACAACAACAAGAAACTAGAATTTACTCAATTTAGTACATAYACATGTTGATCTTTCAAGAATAAGGAGTACACCCTTTTTGCCACTGACTGTATACAAAACATCCCTGTAATACCTCCAAATGAAGAGCTGGTAAGCAGCTTAGCCACATGTTCTCCTGATCAGGTGGACACCTGATTACATAAAGCCAAGCAGGCTGGGTTTGGCTGCTAAAGAGATTAGTTTAACATTGTTTGCAGAACACTGGTGTTTTGATCATTCATCTCAGGTTGGAACTTAAAAYGCCTACAAATGCACTTAAAGACAAAATTTTTCATTTTAAACATCAATGCCTTAGAGCAAGCATTAGAATGTAKGGACATTTAAAAGCCAGGCAAAAAGGTGGATTTCACTTCTGTCTTCTTTGGTACTTGGGTTTTCCATGTTCTCATGCAAGGAACTGTAGCTTAGAGAACACTCAGTCACAAACATRTATTTAACTCCAACTGATGGAGGTGAAAATAATAAATCTAGTGCTGAACAAGTTTAAAAGCAAAGTGTCATTTCCAAGTTAGATGTCCATGTGAAATATGCGTGTTTTGTGTGTGTGTATATACCTCAATGCTTACAGTTGCAGGAATTCATAAATTAAAAGAAGTCAAATCTAATGTTAAGAAATTACTCTTAAAAAAAAAAAAAACAGCCAAATTATATCTTCCAAAATGCACTTTTCCCCTATGCACTGCCACTCAGGACTGAGAGTGCTGGTCCTACAGCCCCAAGCCCAAATTACCACTTTTCCTACATAAGTAATGGTATTAACAACTTAAAGTTACTTTTATCCTATTGTACCTGAGGAGGAACCATCAGCCCTCTCAAACCAGAAAAAATATGTAATTTTGCTTAATTCACAATAAAGAGAAACCTGACCATTTACTCCACTCATATCTTCCTTCTTACTGCTTTATAACTCACTAGTAAGCATACARTAAGTGCATATCTACATATGGAAAAGTTATAAGAGTTTGCACAATGTTGTCAATCCATTTCTCCCCACATACCTGAGTCTTATTGCCATCTCCAGCAAAAAGCTGAAAAAGAAAATATCCAAAAGCAAATGACAAAAYTGATATAGTTAATGCATAGTCACAGAGTCCTAAGTACTCAATATAAGCAGCAAGTAAAACCTGTGGCAGGAGATGGCATTTCACTGTGACAAACTCACTGCAAGCAGAGAAAGCAGAACATGTCCATTATGGGTGCAGACAACACTTATGGGGAAAAAAAGGGGCAATCTTGCAAGTACAGCTCTGAATTAGGAGCCACACCAGAAGCATTTCTAGGCCATTGTGAGTATTCAAAGCTTTCCAATTATGAGCAAGCTTCATCTTAAATTAATACCATGTTTCAGAGGTGCTGAACTTAAAATCAATGACACCRAGTTCTACTGCACAGAAGAAGCACAAGAGCAAGAGTCTGAGGGATTGCATCCATTTACAAAGCCAGAGGAGTAAACAATCAGAGTGTGAAATGCCAAAATGTAAAGAGAGGGAAAGGCTTCATGTTCTAACAAGAAATAGTTGGGGATGCTGTATTTCTCTTCTATTTTCAGCTGATGAAGAAGGCTTTGGTTTAAGTACATGTGTAGAAGCAGATGCTGCAAAGTGACTTACGCTTCCAAGATTGAATCCATACGCCTCCAAAAGACACACACACAGGTAAAAACAACAGCAGAAGTCTTACAAGGCACATCTAGAGAGAAGCACCACTGGTACTGAGCACAGGGAACTGCACTAATCCTTCCCTGCACTCCCAGGTGCTGGAGAAACAGCAGTGTGTAATCATAATACATCTAAAGCCACCTATAGAACAGCTTTGGAATAACTTGCAGGTGATACAACAACCATATTAACAAAAAAGTCATTCAATCCCTGGTAGAGCTATTAATGCTTAAATAACAGTTAAGAGAGGTGATAATTATTTCACAGGTGAAACAAGGAGAGCTGAAGGCCTCCTCCAAAAAGCAGAGCTTACCTTCATATGCCATCCTACAACGCAGCAGAAATTGCAGAGCCTCTCTGCAGTATCAGATATGCTTMATTTCCATATCTTTGCTTCAGGGAAGCTTTTGTTGAAGCTTGGAAGAGAGACAGCATATAATCACCTTCATAGGAAAGTGTATTTCCTACCACTGGGAAGCAAAGTTTTAGGAACTGAGAGCAAAGTAAAGGCTCAAGACTGGAATTTTCCTGAGCTGTTTCTGCTCAGGAATCAAACACCGAAGTGGAAATTTCCCTAGGTGGAGTTCTTTGTTCGATGAAGCAGGCAATTAGAAGTCCCCAAGGTCTGCAGAAATGGCACAAGGCTGATATTTTTGTCGGGGAGAATTTAAGCAACGCAAGACAAAAACAATAACATTAAATTCTGCTGCAAAGCACACCCTTGTTTTTTCCTTCCCCCAAATCCTGGTGATTTCAAGCAGGCAGGTACCAGATGTAAGTATTTGAGAGAGCTTTGGAAAAATATCAAACGTGACTAAAAAAGCAAAATCAAGTCAGCATTGCCTCGGATTTGATTACACAAAAAGGTCAAGTGATAAAAAAGAAACTTGGCATCTTTAAAAGCCTTGAGGGCACARCAGAAGTAGTTTATCATTGGAATACAAATCAAGTTAATATAGATTTATTTTCTTTTTCCATTTGGCATCAGTGACCTGTCTGAGGWTCTTGGAGACTTCACAAGCAAAATTCAGATACATACTGCTATGGCAAGAAGCATTAATTGCTGGGATCCATGATTTTTCTAAACTCATCATATTCATTTGGAAGAGAGACTGTCAGAAGTTATCTGCTATCCCCACACTATGATCTGAAAGGGAGATGGACCGTCMCCAGAACCAACCCTTGGGAAGACCCTAGTCAAGGGTTCAGATACCGAATATTTAAGAGAAAAAAATTAACTGCCACTCCCCTTGCTCTGTGCAGGACATAAAGAAAAACAGATTGTAGTTGATAAGAAGATTATCGGGTGTTCCAGGGACAGGGAATGGGAGCTAAGATAATCAAGAGACAGAAAATCTMCCTAATGGGACTGCCAATCCAACTGAACTAATAATTGCAGACATTGTTACGCATTTTCCTTAACTTTCAAATGTCATCTTGATTACTGAAAAAAATCAATTGCATTTTTTTTATCACATTATTTGATAAAATCCAGTAACGACTACAGTATAAGACCCAGAACAGTAATCACTTACTTCCTAAGCTGTGCATCAAGAGCTATTCTTGAGCAAATCTGGCCAGTAAAGACTCAAGAGCTGCAGTCCCCACCGACAAGACAATGGGAAAGGAYGCAGTGAAAGTAAGGGTTGAAACGCCACAGCTGACATTTTGTGCCAACAGACGAAGATGGCTCTTGTGCCTTTAGAGGATGCAAATTGAAATGCAGGAATGTTTTCATTTTATTCCTTTTCCAGGGCTGCTGACCCCTCCTGGAGTGTCAAGGTGYGTGACGCCAATCCTGGGATAGGCAAAACCTGGGATCTGCTTCATCACGCAGACACCAAGCTTCAGMATAAAATGACAGTTGGATTTTTTTCAGAGCTGATTTTTCAAGGCACATGTCCCTAAGCAGTGGATTCCAGAAGGGATGTGCATAGCAGCCGAATTTGTCTCGGATGTAAGACAGGAAGTGTCCTACAGCTGGAGGAGCTGCCAAACAGGTGCAAGAGATTGGATGTAGCAGCAGCAGCCAGGACAGTCCCCTGCCATCGAGGCACCGCCAAGGAACCTGACCTGGGCATTAGCTCCATGCCCTCGGRGCAATCTGCCATCCTTCCTGCAAGGTAACCTCCACACAAGTTTTGTCACAAACAGTTATCGACCGTGTTCCATGGCTCTAGAGAAATTTAATGGAAGGACTGATACAAAGTAGATGGAAAACTATTCCTCAATAGCAACCAAAAAAGCAGAAATCAAGGACTAGACCCATTCCATACAACACATATTAAAAATATCCAAAACCATGTTTACTGCCAGTTAGGAATTACCACCAGCTTAGAGTTTTGGATTTTTGTATCAAACTGATGAAGAAGTTCTGCTTTAACATAGCTTGCTAAAATTTACTGTAAACTCTAAAATCAAGCCATTCACAAGCAGCCACAAACCTGTTCTTTATCCACCCCTAAATAACCCAGAACCTTCACAAGACAGATGCAGCTGTTTTGCATTTCCAAACAACATCCAGGCATAGATTATTATTTACGTATCATGTYTGAAGCTCAGCACGTACTTTGCTCCTTGTTTTGCTGCTTTGCCTCCAATAAAACGGGTCACAATGTCAAGTTTTTAAACACCCAAGATTTTCTCCTGCTCATCTTGTTTGAAAAGCTAGATTACACCAAGCTTTTGGATGTAGGAAAAAGCTGGAATCTCCTCTGTCCAATTACTTTCATATAGGCAAACAGAAGACATATTTCGTATATACAAAAGTAATATATATTCATCTATGCTTCTGCATACATATATATACATAAACACACCTCTATAAGCATTTAAGCCATTTCTACATGAAATGCACAGCCTTTACACTTGGCTGAAGCATCTTCTCCGAAAGCTGAGGCACCCGTTCCAACCCAAAGATTTATTTTGGATCCATTAGCAACCTAATAGGTTCGTTTAACCGGGGTTTTTCTCTAGGGAATTGTCTTCTAACACTCTTTTAAGCTTCTAGACCTATCTAAAGCTAGCCGCTCCTGCTCCCGTGCCAAGAATGCCGAGGTCACGTCCCCAAAAAAACAGCCCCAAGCACGCCCATGAGACGGAGCTCCCGGCCAGGTGAGCGGCCTGAGGGATGCGGCTTTCCCGAAAACATCGATAAAACACGAATTCACCACGCCGGGAAGGTCTCGGAGAAGCCGGACAAGCTTCAGATGGTTCCACACCAGCCGAGACACCCCGAACCCCGCTAACCTCCCGGCCGCGCACCGAGTACCCCCGAGGAAAACCCGCACCCCCCACACACCTCGATGTATCCGGCGAGTGCGGCCATGGGCCCGAGKAGCGCCAGGAGAAGGAAGACAGCGGAACCCATCGCCGCCGCCATCACCCGCCGCCGCCCGAATGCGATTGCGGCCGCAGCGCCCCCGCGGGGACCCTCCTCGCCAGGCCACGCCCCCTGCCCGGAGTGACAGCCGCGCCCGCCAATCGGAGGCCGAGGTGTAGCCACAGCCCCGCGCCGCTCTCAGCCAATGGGAAGAGGAGCCTGGCGGGTGGGGCGGGCCCCGGCCGGAAATGGCTGCCGGGCCTTCCGGGAGCCGTGAGGGTGTGGAGTGAGTGCCGCTTGGCGCTCCTGCTGCCCATGGCTGCTACGGAAATTAGCCCTCCGGTGAAACTCCGCATAGCGGGGACCGCAAAAGGCCGTGGGCTGTATGACCGTCTGTGGGCTGAACGCTTCACCCCACTACTGCGGTGAGCAGCAGAGCTGTGGAGTAATAAAAGCCAAATGAGACGTTTTCCTCATCTGAAAATAAAACAAGGATGTTTCCCACTCAAAATCTCTACATCTGTCCCTGATTTCTCAAAGCCTTTGACCCATGTGCAAGCAGCAAGTTCCCAGCCCCTCGGGTTTTGCAATAAAACTTGACACGTGTCCTTCTTTAATTTTTTTTTTCCTTTACGGCTACTGAATTATAAGGATAACAGTCAATGGCTTTACCAACATCGAGTAGGCATTACCAATAGGCACCCCCGGGAAGAAAAGACACCATATGTACTGCTCTGTAAATACAGCATTTATTACCCCCTTTTTAGTACTGTCCTTGGTTTCCCCAATGGAAACGTACATCCATCAGGGATGACAAATGCCCACCTTGAAGATGCAACCACTGAAGATCCCACTGGTTTCAAGAACATGAGATTGTTAAAAATAACAATATGTTTTAGACTTCTGGGATTTTTTTCAGCACTGACATGCAGTTAACCTATTAGCATGAAGTTAGAAAAGCAGTGTCATGGAATCATGGAACAGTTTGGGTTGAAAAAGCTCATCTTGTTCCATGCYCCTGCCATGGGCAGGGACAYMTTCCTCCAGAAAAGGATAGAATATCCTATAAATTCCATATATTTGCTTTCATTTTTGTGTGAAGATATGTGAGGCCCTTAAATGGGATGGAAAAAGMTCTTAGTACAAAATGTCACAGTTATAAAACATTCCCATTCTAAACTTCCATATTCTTTAGTGGCTCTTACAAGTGCTCTTTTCTGAAACAGGAACATTGCTGAAATGTTGCAGATGGCATAAATCTGTACAATAGATCAATAAGCAGCCCAGTTTTAATTAAAATTGCTGACTGTTCCAATGGTCACTTATATAGTCTCTTYCTTATACTATTTGAAAACCCTTAAATCTCTTTTACTGCATTCCTCTGGCATATATAATTTTCTTTTTAGCCTGGCCAAGTTCAGTTGAAAAATGGAGTAACAAGTTGATTTTGAAAACTGACACATTTTGAAGTAAATATTTTATTGTGCAACATGAATACATGAGTAAATAACAAGACATTCTGAGTTAGGCTTTTCCCTTTCCTGAAAAAGGAAGCATTTTTCTTCCTCCCCAGTCCAAAATGTACAAGTATTTATAAATCTTTGGGAAGGGGCTTTCAATTGAGGTTGAATTTATATAGTATATAAAGTGCTACATAAATTAATTTACTTTTAATATTTATGTAGTGCTTGGTGAGTATTAATTCATGTTCACAGCACTGACTCCAACAGCATTATCCTTGTTTTTCTGAAAAACTTTCAATCTGGTGAGTTTTGGGGAAATCTCTCAGATAAGCACGAGCTAGAACCTCCGCTGCATTCTCACCTGCTCCTAGTCCTGCACTGCAGATAAACCAGGGTGTAAGAGCTGAGGTTGTGCAGCAAAGCTACAACACAGGATATTCCTCTTCAAGAGCAAGGCTATCAGTGCTCGGTTCACTATCTGAAAAGCAAGTGAGAAATCAAAGTTTGAAAAATAACACATCTCCCTTCATACAGAGATCAGCCCTCCCAGGACAAAAAGTCCCCAGAAAAAAAGGTTTATTCCCCCAGATCTTGGTYATTTCTTGGTGATTCTCAGGAACTCGACATGCAACTAAATTCATATGCCTGCAGGGTGACAGGGATAGAGATTGAGAYAAGAGTCTCCATCCAGCAAGAGGCAAATGGAATTCCAGCAGTCAGGGAAAASCTGAAGGCTTTCAGCACAGAAAGGCTTTGGAGATGGCTGTTTTCAGGTACCTTCTGTCCACACAGGAGCAGCAGGTCACTGCAGGTATGGTKAATTCAGTGTACAGCTCCATTTCAGGTGAGCACTGGTACTTGTCTGTTGCCTATGACAACAACACCAGTTTGAATCGATGCTGCAARGCTGCAGCATTCCCTAGGACACTTCTCCTGCTGTTAACCCTGTTAGGTGGGTGACACCTTATATTTACTTCCAAGAATCACATTTTATCCAAGTTCTGGAGCTTTTAGTGCCCTTTTCCAGRACATCTGTGCTAACAAAGCACTGAGAATCTCATGCTCACCTTTGACTGCTACTGTTTATTCTGTAAGAAATGTTTCAAGTGAACATCTCTGCCCCTTATCACTTGCAAGACCATGACTGTGTAAACAGAAAGTGCATGTTTATGATTGCAAAAATGTGCTCTGAAAGAGTAATGTTAAATTCTAGATAAAAGAAGCCAACAGAGGTCATCAAGGAATGCATCAGGTACCATTAAAGTCTTTGGGAGCAGCAACTTTAGCAAATTGATGCATTGAGAACCTGTCAGTATCAGTACCAGGAGAAAGAGTTCAGACAAGTGAGGAAATCTCTGAATATTCCCACCATTCTTTTAAACTCCTGAAATTAAAGCATAAAATTAGTTTAGTCAGTGAATTGTAATGCTATACAGCTTTTTTAATTAAAAAACTTGAAGATGTTATAAATGACCCAGACTCCGAGTGAGAATGAGCCAAAAGAAAATTTATTGAGAACCCAAAAATCTGCAGAGCAAGAGTATACAGTGATGGTGGGTGCTTGGCACAGTGCCAGAGGCACACCCAGGGATTGTGGTACCACCTTTTTAAACCCCCACAACCAGCCCACTACAATAACTTAAGGGCAGTTTGAACTCAACATTTTACAGAAAACATTATTATACATTTAACATTAAATCATATAACACTAAGGAAGCCAAACCTATAAATTGGTTAATAACAATGATTTAAATGGGGGATCACACCATTCCTACCAGTTGTGTGACTGGTATAGTCAGTCTGGGTTTTAGGGGGTAGAATGCAAACTTAAATTACAAACAACTACAGAATGTGGTGGGATTAAGTAAAGAACTCCCTATTGCTAATTACTGRACTTATTATGATCATACTCCAATATTATTACTGCTGAACCCAATTCAGCAATATAAGAAATACTAAGTAGTGCTTCTAGTGCACAGCTTGCACAAATGGTGCACATCTAACTGCCCCCAACTCATCTGGAGCCATCCTGCCATTTGGACAAGACCTCTACCTGTCACAAAGCTGTGTAAGGGGCAGAAAGCAATGCAAAACTGTTACTGACCAACTAAAGCTTGATCCAACATCCAGCTATTTCAGTGCCTGTGTGAAATAATAATTCTACAGACCCATAAATAACATCAGAAGCTTGCCAACCTGGTCTGGAATTGGACATCCATATTTGGCTGCAGCACTTCTGCATGAAAGTCCAGGGTTCCTGCAGCCTTGCAGCTCAGCTTCCCATTTGTGACTCAAAATAACACACTGGGGACAATGTAGGAAGTCCAGCAGCAGTAAGTTGAAGGAAGCTGGTGAAGAAACTGGGCCTAAGATATACAGTGAGAATGAAGACGCTTGATAGAAAGAGGGTAACAAAAAATRCAGAAGCCTTGAGAGATGATACAAGGCAGACAGGAGCTTAAAGACAAAAAGGTGATTTCTAGGGTAATACAGTGAAGTTTGGAAGAGTGAAGGGATGGAGAATAACTATGAACAGATGCATTGCAAGTGGGGTCATACCACAAAAACAGGGATAAAAGGAGTAACTGCAGACGTGAGGAGAAAYAGCACAGGAATCTGTGACAAGGCAGTGACACAGTAAATAGTGGTGGACAGCAAGACCCTTTTGTTTCTGCTCAGAGACATCTTTAAAAGGTATTGGCAAGGAAGGGAGAAAATGTACCCTTCATTATACCAATGAACYCTTAACTCTTACTGGCCATTTTCCCAGTGCTCTGGTCCATGCCTTAAACAGGGTTATTCACCTGGCTTCCACTGAGGTGTCTGAAATGGGCAGCTCTGCACAGCAGTTTGTGCTGTGTTAATCTCAAACAGCACAATCCTTGCCTTCAGCATGTAACAGACTATTAAGGAAACAAGCGTGGCATTAATACTCCTGTAAATGAAAACTTCAAAATAACCTTTCTGTTAGATTTGGAGATATTATGGCTTTGAAGCACCAGCACAGAAAGGTGCTACTGCACTGGAAAATGAAAAATGCATCAATCTAGGATGCTTAAGGGCAGCACAAGGGAAAACCTGTAAAGGAAGCTGCTGCTCCTTCAACATTGCATAYGAATCTCAGCATCCAGAAAACATGCTAAATCTATGATCTCCTCTCATTTCTAGATGGGGGGCAAACCCATGGGGAACTAACTGGACAACTTGTTTTTCTGAAGATTATCTAAGGCAAACACAATGTCTGAGAGACACAAGGAATCCATTTTAGAAAAGAGTTGCACATATGTAGGATTCACTTCMAAGGAAAAGAAATTACTTCTGATATATAATTCAGTAGAGTAATGAGCCCACACTCAGACTGAGGATCCCAGATGCAGAAATAGCAGAGCCTAACCAACTTTTTAGYTAATACACAAACTGAGAATTTATGCTGCTAATTTTCTCCCTCCACATGGATCCAAGGCTTTGAGCACTGGCAGGATCTCAAGGCAGAGCAATGTCTGATGCTTCTTCAAGGAACTGAACACAAACATTGAACCTGACACAGGGAACTCCAAAGACTGAGGATCTAGAGGTCTACAAGCAAGGGCATAGTGAAGACCCTGTGGGGAGAGAGGAAGGAGAGGCCGCTTTTTAGAAAATATTTAGTGAACTCTCACCCTCTTGCTCRATGAGATGTATTTTCCTGCATTGGTATCCTGTCTCCTTTATCTCTTCTAGTCCACCTGTGACAACTGAAGCAACATTTAATCTCTGAAGATAGCAGAATCAGTCCTTCATGTATAAAGGCAACCAAACCTTTCCAATTTAAATAAGCTGAGCACCACAGCTACAGTAGAGAAGCCATCTGAAAGCTTAAAGAGAAAAAAACCTACAAATAAAAAGAATCCACCAACAACTGATATTGGCTCATTATGGTGCTGAGATTTGTCCTGCTATCCTTGGATGTTTCTTCCCTTGCCCCTCATATGCTTGACTATCTCAGTCTCATTTCAGCAGTGTGAAAGTCTGTCTATTTTATAGAGGTCTTTTATAAAAGATGAAAATTCAAATATGTTATAATTAGCTGCAGTTCCACATAAGTCAGTATTATTGCARCTTTTATATTAGATCCTAATTTGTCCCACAAATGTGTGTGTCAAATATTACAGTAGAATGATTAATGACATCAGATGTAATGGAAGGATAAAGCATTGATGGAAGAGACTTGCTTGAGAGGAACAATTTTAACTTCTTTTCACTCATAATTTATTTTTGTCCTCTACTGTAAAAGACACCTGAAATTGAAAATAAAAATGGGTTGTATTACTGGCAAGCAAAAGAAGAGATCTGATTCATGATTTAATTCTTCATTCAGTATTCATTAGTAGATTAAAAGCCAAAACATCATAACAAATGGCACAGCAATGAACAACATTGAATATAAAAACTTTAGGACTTGTCCTGCTGAGTAAATGTGGAATCATTTGCAGTTTTGAAGATAAGTGAAATTCAACAGCACAAAATTGACCCCTCCCTTCACAATCARGTCTGATTCAGCCCCTGTTCCGTCAGGCATCATSGAATTGCCTGTGCTAACAAGTTAATTCGTGGCACACCAAAGTCACCTTTTATTTCACCCCCAATCACTTGTTTGAGCAGTTACTCAGTTTGCAGTTACTCAGTTTGCAAGAACAGGGTGTATGAGGAAGGAACTTATGACACAGGAACTAGTAATAAGGAATTTAAAATATGTAGGAGACACATCAAGTCTGGTAATACAAATTACTGGGAACTGTAGTTTTCCATCAGTTGCAGGGTACCTTTAAGTGGTTTTTTCTTTCTTTTGCATTTAAGAGCAAAAAACTCCAAAACCCTCCTTCTTTCTTTAATTTGGCATCAGCCCTGAAGGATGCAGTTTGCATCATTCTATTTAAACAAATAGTAAGACATTTCCTATTAGAAATATCATTAGGGCCTCACAGCTCCCAAATACGCAGTCATCCTTCCTATTTAARCACAGGAATATTGATTTTAGGCACTGGAATTGCAGATCTGGAGACACAGGACCAGCAGCCTTGCCCTCCAGCACTATCACCAGACCCAACTTTGGGCAGGAGCTGAGGGGTCTTGTCTGAGTAGCAGCCTGGTCTTTAACTGAGACTTGGGGGAAATCAGTGGGATACTGGAATTCCCAGGCATCAGAATTCATATTTGCAGACCTTGCTCTACAAGTTTTTTATTTCAGTGCCCCAAATGTACCCAGGGCTCTCCAGCACTAYTGACTTACAAACTCATTCAAGAGAGAGGCTTTGTATTATGCTCCGGGGTTTTTATAACCTTTGAAACAGAGTTCTTTGGAGGGGCACAAGGAAGTGAGATGTAGCAGTGCTTTGGCAGCTTTTAAAATCCTAAGGCTACAAGGAGTTTAAATATAGGTTCTCTTGGCGGTAAGAAATAAAGAAATACATGTATTTAAAGTCAGTATCAGTTGAATAAAGGCAAAGAGCCAGGACACAGCTGAAAGGAACTATGACATGTGAGTAGAAGCTGAATCCCAGTGTCTCCAAGGGAAGGAGGGGACCACCTACAACTTCCACCCCAAACACATGGCCTGAGGGGGAGAACAGCTTCTTTATGAATCAGATTTTCTCAGAAGATGAGTCAGCTCCCAAGAGATCTTTAACAAAATTCCTGYCCTGTAACTTTCCAATAGTCTTTTCCCATATATTGCAAAGGGCTGAATTTGAAGTTACTCCTTTTATTTTACCATGATTGGTGCTCATGAGAAGAGAGAATAGCCTGTATCTTTTGCCATTGCAGCTTGCTAAGGTGTGAAGATACCTTTTCTCCCTCGACATTAAAGACAGTTTGCCCCACAATAATGAAAAACATCATTTTGCAGGAGAGCTTCACACTGGTATCAATGTATTCAGCTTYTTTAGAACCAAATTACGAGGCTTCCTCCAATTCTAGGCTTTCCTGCTTTGTCACAGTCACTTGGTTGACTCCCCAAGGTCTTCACCAAGATGTAGCTCATTGGCTAAGTTGTAGAAAAGGAGTCTTAAGAAGAGCACTCTATTGAGGTTTTTCCCTTTAAAATGCAAATGGTTGGTAGTTAATTCCCTTTTGGGATTTAAGAGCTGAATTTAAAATGGGGAATGATAATACAAAAATATACTTCAGAAAGCATTGCAGTGTGAGTAATGAATCCTTCACCATATGAATGCAGATTCTTGGGGTCAGCAGACATCTTTGTTTATCTGCATTTTAATGGTTTCCCTCAAAACTGCTTTTGACAAAATTTTTCTTCARCATACTACCTGGTACACTCTCAGTGGACAACAACGAGAGCAAAATTTGATCAGGTTTTCTGTTTCTTAAAAACTCATAGATCAGCATATTTAAATACATCAATATTCTACTGGGTATGATAAATAACACCCTTGTTTCTGTTAAGAAGTCTAACAAGACCTTTTCCATATTTCCTGAAAATATAGTTTGTTAGACCCATTTGCCAGCTCTTTGTTGACTGGGAAGGTTAAAAAGCAATCCAAAAAAAGTAGCTGCTCAGTAAAGATGTTAAATCAATATCCACTTACCAACTGCAAAAGGACTGTGTTCCATCTCCCTTTCTTTTTCATAACTACCATTTTACTTCTAAGGCAGGGGGAAAATAAGCATATCTAATTATGTCCTTAGATCAGTTTATGCTTAAACACATATGCACACAGATACACCCCTGCAACCTTAGATGGACCTGGGGATGCAAGTGCTGTAATCTGCATTTAAAATGCTCCACTCCTTGCATGATCAGGCCTTAAGTAACTCAACCAGTTTCCTTCTATTTGTTCTGTTGTCTGAAAAATATATCTTTACATAACCCTTCAAAAGAATCATTTATATGCACACGGACACTGGCACAAACACATACACCAGTTTTCATAAACCTTATCCCAGCAAAGGATGGAACTGCATCAGCATGAGATAAAAACTACAGATGACAATGGGGATCTGCAAAGTTCCTGGTCTATGATTAGAAGGGCCTAAGCCTGGGATCTAGTTGATAGACTAGAAATTATTTGTATTTGGATACACTTCCTTTGGCACATGAGTGCAGAGCTGTGGCCAGGGAACACATGTGGGGGGGTGAGAGGGGAGCAGCCCCCAAGCCAAGTGTTCTCCTGGCCAACATCATGTGCTGATCCAGTGTCAGCTGGATAATCCAGCCAAAAGCACATTGGGTAGCTCTCTTGGCAGGGTTAGTAATTAARTATCTTCACCACCTCAAAACCTAAAAAACAATGACTTACAAGCCTCATTTCMAGCCTTCCCTCTGTCTGTACAAGAATATATCAAATAGTCACTTTTCCTTTTTGCCCTTCTTTTGTTTCCATGTTTTTCTGCATATTGCAAACTGTCCAAGTTCTCCAGGCTCTGTTCTCTTTTTTTTTTTTTTTGTTAGACTGACTTCAGTTGAACCCTAGATCTAAAAGTCCCCAAACAATCAACAAAGAACGTATTTCAGTATGTTAAATTTGAGAAGTCACAATAAGGACTGTGGTATGATACTGTGATATCACTCACAGAGGACTGTTACTTCATTGTGAATGGAAACAGCATCTGGCACAGGGCAAGAAATCATTTACCAGAAGAACATCCAAGAAGCACAGCAGTGAAAAATAAGATTCAAATGACTATAGCTATGTAAGTTGTTGTCTTTGTTGGGAAGATGTTTCCTTAGAAAGTGAGGGAATGAAAAATACTGCACGTGATATGTCTTTTTTTCCACCTTCAACTCCAGCGTTTGCCAATAGCTTTTCAACAATTGTATGATTCACTATTGAATATTCCATGCTGAGAAAAGCCAGCATTCTGTACAGCACAGGGCTCTTTCATTCCTTTTTATTTCATACTTCTGTTACCCACAAACATGTCAGCTGTGAAATAAAACCTGATGAAAGACTTTGAAAGGAGATAAATTCCCAGCAGGTGTCACAGAAATACTGAATTGACTATTAGTCTTAATTACACCTTTCCATGTGGTTTTGCTGTGTTGCTGATGCTCTATACTAAATGAAATATAATTATTTTAAAATATTTTTTTTTTCTACACCAGAAGAGAAAGTGAACAGGTCAAAACAAAACTAGGTAAGTGACAAGGAGAAAAGGAAAACAGACATCACCAGCATGGTTCCTAAAAGTTCTGCAGGGAATTAATGAGGAAAGAGCAGAGAAGGGGAGCCAGGATGTGGAATTCAGTGCAAAGATGAATACAGAAAATCATAGAATCCCCGAATGTTTTGGATTGGAAGGGACCTCAAAGCCCATCTCATTCTAATGGAAGGGACACTTTCCATTAGACGAGGTTGATTGAAGCCACATCCAACATGGCCACAAACACTTCCAGGGATGGTGCAGCCACAGCTTCTCTGCACATTTACAACCTTTCGAGGTTAAGGAGAAACYACAAGGATATGAAGCAGCTCATTCAACTTTTAGGGTATTCTTGGGTGAAACAGAATTTGCCAGGGACATGAATTCAGCCCTTWTCAAGCTGATCCAAGTACTGAAAAATGACCATGTCACCTTAAGCCTATTCCCATCCTTTGCCTTCCTAAATACCTCAGCAACTGTAAGAATAAMTTTCAAGATAATCTTACCACAGTGGCAAAGACACTTCAGTGCAAAAATCAGCTACTGAGGGGCTGGGCCCACAGTTGTCAAGTCTCTTGATCAAAATTACTTTAAATTTCCTTTGAGAAATGCCATTGTTATTACCATGCTGCTCTGTTATCCAGGCAAATTCAGTAGGCAGCAGATTTTGGAAATCAGGGATCAAAGTCTGAGATCTTTTGATAAACCTGAAGAGTCCAGATCCTACCTGAGCTCCCACTGGGGTGTACTGCCTTTAGACACAGCACTCCCAAGCAAACAGATTTTAGAGACCTGGGAAATACCCAACTGTACTCTAAAAAATTCTAAAAAGAGCAAAACAAGTCTCCAGAGGGATCCCTGCAAAATGAAGGCAGAGCAAACCTGACATGATGCAGGACACACAAGCACTCTCAGCTGGAACTACAGCAAACCTTTTATTGTGAACTGCAGCCTCATGCTCAGGCAAGCAAATCTGGAATTTTTCCACTGTGTGCAGSCCAGGGTTACAGGAGTTCAAAGCAATAGTTGAACATAATAACACAGATAGGCAAAGTCCTGTCATAACTTTACTGTACAAATCTGCTGCTTTGAACAGAACACCTTTGTTTTGGGTCAGGCTGGCCCAAACATTTGGATGCAC